TCTCTCTCTAACACACACACACACACACATTGATTTTCTCCCCTCCTTCCCAACATATACACTATGTATACATAGAGCCCGTAATAAATTCCACTGTTTATTGCTAATCATTTATGAAATACTTAATAAATCATTCAAAAACTCAAAGCTTTTTATGATATCATAAGAAACCGGTGGATATGAGCCGCGCATACAGACAGTTGCCAAACAACCGCCAGTTTCTCACGACAAACACTCCGTTAATGTATACTTAACTAGGACTGAGTCAAACCATATCCAGTGCCATCACAAACAAACTGCACCATGGTGGTCAACCTATTCGAAGATGTATTAGAAGATGTCAAGGGACTTATAAAGTTGGGTCACATATGTATTGACAACAACGTGTTCCGGTGCCACTACAAGGCGTCAGTCATTATACTGATAGCCTTTTCCATACTCAACACTTCCGGTCAATTTTTCGGTGACCCTATCGACTGTCTGTGTAGTGATGAGATAGGGGACGACAAAAACGACCTTTTGGACAGTTATTGTTGGATTCACTCGACGTTCACACTACCGAAAGCCCTCCACAAAAAGGTGGGCCTAGAGGTGGCGCACCCGGGCGTCGACCAGTACAAGCCCGACGATGTCAAGGTGTACCACAAGTACTACCAGTGGGTGTGGTTAGTGTTGTTCTTGCAGTCCCTCATGTTTTACATACCGAGGTATGTGTGGAAGTTGTGCGAAGGGGGCCGTATAAAGTCGCTGGTGTTTGACCTGGATAAGCCCGTACTCAAACCAAGTGAGAAACAGGAAAAACTAGGGCTACTGGTGCTGTACCTCAAGTCCAACATCCGGTACCACAACTCGTATTTCTTTTACTTTGTGATCTGCGAAGTCATGAACTTCGCGAACGTCATAATCCAGATCTATTTGGTCGACGGCTTTCTGGGCGGTGCGTTCACGACGTACGGCACGGATGTCCTGAAATACACTGAGCAGGACCAGGAGAAACGGGTGGACCCCATGATAGCTACTTTCCCACGGATGACAAAGTGTACGTTCCATCAGTACGGCCCGTCCGGTGACGTCCAGAGACACGACGCCCTCTGTATACTACGCCTCAATATACTCAACGAAAAGATGTATATTTTTCTCTGGTTTTGGTTCCTGTTTTTGGCCGCCATTTCCGGCCTCGTGGTCCTCTACCGGTTGATCATTATTTTTGTGCCCGCCTTCCGGTACTTAGTGTTGAGATCGAGGGCCCGGATGACTGATCCCAATCACCTGAAACTCGTGATGGAGGTGTCGAAGATTGGCGACTGGTTTTTACTGTACTTGTTGTGCAAAAACATCGACCGCCAGAACTTCAAGGAACTCATACAGGAGTACACCAAAGAGATCGTGGATGACGGGTCTGGACAGCACCTCATGGCATACCCCGATAATCCCGATAAACTCAAGTAAGATCAAACTGACCCTAGTCATTGAACCATCTTTATATCATGAAGTTTTTAAAAGTAGATTTGTTAAAATATATTTTATTATAAAAAAATTAATTACTATTTTTGAAATCTTTTTTGAGTATTTAAAATGTTAATCTTTATTGATCATACTAATTTAAAGTCATAATTAATAATATAATTTTATTATACAGATAATATAATAGGTATTGCACATGTATGATAAGAATAAATGAATTCTTAAGTTAATTTCACTTTAGCCTCTATTTTGTCATAAATCTATTCATGTTATCAATTATTTAATCCTTTTCTATCATACTATTAATGCCCACCATTTATAGTACGTTTAAATAGAGTTTGGTTTAATTCATTAAAGCAAACTGGATTTAAATATACTATAAATAGTTTGCATTAATCCTGAAATGGAAACTAATTAAGTAATTTATATTATGAACAAACTTTATAATAAAATCGAAACTTGAGTGAAATTAACTAAAGAATTGATATATTTTTATTTAACATTTTGTAAGTTATTAAAGAATTAAATTTCAGTATCTAATGTAAAGTTCTATAATTTTATTTTTAATTAAATTGCACAATATTTGTTTAATATTTATATACCTTATTTATAAAAAGTGAATTATTTTAAAGTTATTTGTTGTGTAAAATATGTTTAGATTTTAAAAATTATTTCCAAAATAAAAGTCTAGATTTTAAAAACATTTGTAAACATTTCATACAGATTTTAGAAAATATTCTGTTTTAAAAATATTTTAAAAATAATTTCAACTTCATAATCAAAAACATCACTGTAATATAAAATTTGATAATTAGTAAAATAATATAGTAATATATATTTTCATGTCAGTTAGTTGTAGTAGACCATCCCAGTTAAAAACTTTTAAAATATTAATTATATTTATATATTTAAGAAATATATTAATTTACAGTCTAAGGCAGTACAGTGCATAACTCCAGAAAATAACATAAATTTATAAATTGCATAAAATAACAACCCTATTAATTATCAAAAAACATACAAAACCACTACACACTTAATCGGCCGACTTTAAGGCCTCCATTTCCTTTTCATTGGGTTGGACCATAGGCTGTCCCGACCCGTCCTCCACTATTTCCCTTGAGTACTGTTGTATGAGTTCCTTGAAGTGGTGTCCGTCTATGTTCTTACACAACAGATACAGCAAAAACCAGTCGCCTATCTTCGACACCTCCATCACCAGTTTCAGGTGATTGGGATCCGTAAACTTAGCCCTCGATTTCAATATCAGGAACCGGAGGGCCGGTATGAATATAACGATTATGCGATATAAGAGCATAAGGCCTGACATGACCGCCAGGAATATCAACCAAAACCACAGAAAGATATAAATCTTTTCGTTCACTATATTGAGGGGTAGTATACAGAGGGCGTCGTGTCTCTGGACCTCACCGGACGAGCCGTACCTATAAAACGTACATTTGGTCATCCGGGGGAAGGTGGCTATCATGGGGTCCACCCTATCCTCCTGATCCTTCTCCGTATAGTTCAGTACATCGGATCCATAGCTACTGAACGCACCGCCGAGGAAGGCGTCGATGACATACATCTGGATTATGACGTTCACGAAGTTGAGGACTTCGCAGATCACGAAATAAAAGAAATACCAGTTGTGGTACCGGATGTTGGCCTTGAGGTACAGCACCAGTAGCCCAATCTGCTCATTCTTGACCTTCTCGGCTATAATAGGCTTATTGAGACCGAGTACCAGACTTTTCAGGCGTTCCCCTTCCCATAGTTTCCACAAATATCGCGGAACGTAAAACACCAGCGCTTGCATGAACAGTACGATCCACACCCACTGGTAGTAGGAATGGTATGTCTTTGTGTCGCCGGGCTTATACTGGTCGACGCCCGGGTGGGCCACCTCCACACCCACCTTCTTGTTCATGGCGTGCGGTAATGTAAACGTGGAGTGAATCCAACAGTACGTCTCGAGCAGATCGTTGGGAATGTCGTCTTTTTGGATACAGTGTATGGGTTGACCGAAAAACTGCACGGATGTGACCAACAGGGAAAAGGACATCATTATGATTACCGTAGCCTTATAGTGGAGTCGGAACACGTTATTATCGATGCATACGGTGCCCAACTTGATCAGCCGTTTTACCGGCCCGAACACGTCCAACACCATTCTGGATTACGCTAACTTTTCTAGTTGATTTTAATTAAAAACAATTTTTTACATAAAAAAAAGTATTATGGGCTAGTCACTAATTAGTGATTTGCAATTTATTAGCACAATGGCTGATGCCTACCCTAAAATGTGAGTTTAGGTGGTTATCTATATTGTACTAAAATATAATTGATGGTTGACATAGTGATGCAAATAACTTAAGAAAACATAATGGGCTCAAAGTAAATAGTATCTTTACGACTGAATGTCATTGTATATACTATTGTATTGTAAAATACACATTCAGTGTGTTTAAGCAATTAATCGCCACGGTAATAATCGATATTATCACACCATAACTATTAACACAATTAACCATAAACTCCAACACTTTTGTTCACAGTTTAGGACTCAAAAAAATATTTATTATATCAAATCTCAGAGTACTTTCAGTACAAAAAGCATTAACACAATTAGATTACATAGGTACTTTATTTTTTATAATATTAAAAATCTATACAGTAAATCAGACAAAAAGTATGGTAAGTATTATGTCTTAAAAATAATATTTTTAGGCACTGGAGGTTAGGGCCTGTTTCTCGCTATTTTCAAGCATGGCTTCACCCGACCCGTCCTCAGTGATAGCCTTTGAAAACTCTTGTATGAGTTCCCTATAGTGCTGTCCGTCGATATTCCTGCACAGGAGGGACAGTAGAAACCAGTCGCCAATCTTCGACACCTCCATCACGAGTCTCAGGTGATTAGCGTCCGTGAGCCGGGCCTGGGATCTCAGTGTCAGGTACCGGAGCGCCGGGAAAAATATAATCAACAATCGATAGACAATAGTAATGCCGGTAATGACGGCCAAAATGATGAACCAAAACCACAAAATGATATAAATTTTTTCGTTCACTATATTGAGGGGTAGTATACAGAGGGCGTCGTGTTTCTGGACGTCGCCGGACGAGCCGTACTGACGGAACGTACATTTGGTCATCCGGGGGAACACCTGTATCATGGGGTCGACCCGATTCTCCTGATCCGACTCCGAGTGATTCAGTACGTCCGAGCCGTACGTACTGAACGCACCGCCCAGGAAGCTGTCCACCAAATACATCTGTATTATGACGTTAGCCATGTTCGCCAACTCACAGGCCGTGTAGTACCAGAAGTAGGCGTTATGATAGCGGAGGTTGGCTTTTAGGTACTTAGTCAGCGCCTGGATCTTCTCACCCCGTTCCCCATCCTTGATGATCGGGTTGCCGAGCCCCTGGACCAGTACCTTGAGCTTACCGTCCTCGTAGTTTTTCCATATATATCGGGGCGCGTAAAACATGACGGCCTGCAGGAACAGCACGAACCCCACCCACTGGTAGTACGAGTGGTAGACCTGCTTCTGGTCGGGCGTATGCTTGTCGACGCCCGGGTGCGCCACCTCTACCCCCACCTTCTTGTTCATGGCGTCCGGTAAGACAAACGTCGAGTGAATCCAACAATACGTGTCTAACATATCAAACGGATGTTTGTCCACACGTTGGAAGTCCTTTGAGATGCAGTCGATGGGGTCACCGAAGTATTGACCGGAAGTGATGACTATGGAAAAGGCGATCAATAGTATGACAGTCGCCCGGTAGTGGAGTCGGAAGGTGTTGTTGTCGATATAAACGGTCTCCTTTTTGACCAGCTTTTTAACTGGCTGAAATAGCGCTAACACCATGTTGACCTAGTGGCTATATTATGCGGTACTAATAGCTACGGTGACTAAATTTACTTTTTAACAAAAATAATGTCAAGATTTTGTTTGCACTAATTTTTTGCCATAATAAAATAAAATGGTTATTTTTATTAATAGCTAATACTTTATTCTATACAATAATTGTCTGTAACTTATGTCTCCAGAATGTGTTTCATGTTATCTTATATGAGATAATATTGTAACGGATTGTCGCATAGCAATGAAAAATGTTTATACATTCAATGGATTTCAAGAGAAAGTTTTTAAACAGTTTCGTATTATTTAAACAGAAGTCACTTATTTTCATGCTATAAATCACTTGAGGAGATAATTTAATATTTGTTTATATTATTAGTTAAATATTTTTAAAGTTTTGATAAAACCGAAATGTTATATTATTTTGAAGGTTTATTAAAATAGTAAATATTCTTAATGCAATCGAATATTATTTTAAATATTACTATTATTATTTATTATTTATTTAATATTAGAAATTGAAGTAAATGAGTAATATAAAAACATTAAGAATTTTTAAAGATATAATTATATTTATGATATACTAAAAGCTGGGTTTGTCTATTAAAAACAATGGAAATATAATGAATTAAGCTATAGTTAATTATGAAATGGGTAGTTAACATCATATAACTAGGTAATTCATCAGTTTGCTTAGCAATTTAAATGATTTGTTAGTACTTGTAATAAAATATGTTTTTTAATCAGAATATCATCAATTCAAAGAATTGTATATAATTCAAAGTTCATGATTTATTATTACCTTGTTTAAAGTATTAACAAATTGCTCAATATTTTGAAATTTAGTTTAGTTTAGTGAATAGATAATATGACATAATATCTAACATAAAAATGACCCCCCTCATACATAATCAGCTCATAATAACATAATAAGTTATTAGTATTACTAACACTTTCATATGCTCATAATAACTCATAATAACTCTTTACATGACAGTGTTATGATGACACCCTACAAAAGCGTACATATTTTGTGAATGTCGCCTACGGTACTTATGAGCAATATGATCAAAGTACATTATGTGCAACCCTAGTATCTGATTTACCTATTGCTAAATTACTAACAAAATCATTAATTTATTATAAATATCAATACCATTCACTCGATAGTAAATCGCATAAAAAATAACTCAATATTTTCACATAAAATAATATTTTAAGTAATAACTAGTTTATTTTTATAATGAATTTCTTTTCTAGTACAGTTTTAATTTTAATATTTGTGGCATTAGTGAACAGTATGCCGAGTAATAACTTGACAAATAAATTATCATGGTATATGAACCAAATGGATTACAATTTGAATGATGATGAGCCAATTGACAAAGATCCATGTGTCTACAATAATAATGTGAATATAAGAAAATGTATCAGAGACAAAAACATTAATCCTGATGCAAGTTACCAATATAAAGATGATATTCCATACACATGTTGTGTTATCTGGGTCATCCGAGATTGTATATTAAACCAGAAAGAGGTAAATAATTTTTTTTAAGTTTAATATTTGTTAAACAAATTTAAAATTCTATATTATATCACATAAATAATGTACTGAAACGTGAACAATTACCTTTCCCAGAAAAAATGTACAGGTGAACAATTTGAACAAACAAAAGTAAAAATGGCTAAAATAAAAGATGATCTGGAAAAGGGTAAATGTGCCCAGCACAAATATACACCTGATATACTAGTATGCAATCCATCACCCATACCAACTACCACACGAGCACCGAGTCGTGCCACCTATTCAGTTGCCAACACATTATTTATAATAATTTTATTTATTTTTACAATTAAATTGTCTTTATGATTTATTTTACAATATAACAGAAGTATGTTAAAAAGATTAAACTTAAAGTATTTTTAATTACTTAATAAATTATGATTCTATTTTAAACAGGTTATATGTCGTGTATTTATTAATAAACAACATCTAATTGACATTTTATACAAAAGAATAGAACATTCTAAATTATTTTTATTTTAAAATTAATATTTATCCAGTACCTTATTATAGTAAATTAGTTAATCAATTTTTATGGTTTAGAATTGCCATTTACGTTTGGAATTACAATTCGATAATTTTGATAATATTAAAACAAATTTGAGTTTACAATTAATGATCATGTTAAATAGAAAGTTATAAATTATTTTGAATATAATGTTAGAAATACGTGTTTATAAATAATTATTTTGACATAATTAAATTATAATTCCCATATATCATATAAATAAATAGCCATTCATACACTTTAGATTAATATTATAGGTAATATATTTAAAGGTCATCTATCAATATCATTATTAATGTTTGTTATTTTATATTTCAATTGCGAATTTTCATCATTTTATAAATACACAGCTATAATAGTTTTGGTAATTATTTTTATTGTGGCATTGAATATCAATAATAATTACTGTTTATACATCATAACAATTTCAAAATAAACTTATTTTATTATACAGAAATTTTTATTCATTTGATATTTTTATTTTCGAAATATAATACAAACTAATGGACAAAACTATAGACTTATCTAACCCCATACCTCGGGAATGGCGTGTAATGGGAGCTCACAGTCATACCTATCTAATTGGCCTGTCACTATTTAAACCAATTTATTGTCAAAACAGATACTTTCATAGCCCAGTATTTATATTATTTATACTATTGTGGCGATTATTTACTAGTTTTATATGCTTGTATACATATTTTAATAAAGTAATAACATCACCTATATTTCACTTAATATTATGTGATCTGGATTATTTTCTACATTTTGGCTTTGCACAAAATTTAACATTCATAGACATGACATGTTGTGTATTATTGCTACAACTATTAAATTATTATAACTATAAAAATCATATAAAACCGACGGATTTAAAAGTATTTCATATGATTAGCGGTTTAATTACTCCGAAAAGCATAGGAATTGATGATCACTTGTTTTTATTTCAAATATTAAGATTTTCTTATAAATTATTTGATTGTGCTAGATATTTAAATATTTTGTGTCCCTTTGCGACTGCAATGTATGCATTGTTTGTTTTAATCAAAATTAATGACATTACTTATTTTATAGTATTTGGTATACCAGTTATAAGTTGCATAACAATATATGGATATTATTGTTTTAGTATATTTGTTTATCAAACTATTTATTATATTATTATTGCATTTTATTTAACTTTAAAGATTAAGGGGGTTAATATAAAAATAAGGCATCGTATACAACATTTATCACGCGTTAATTATTATAAAAATCATGTATTTATATTGAAAACTATAAAAAATTTAAATTCAATTTATATGGAAATTACTGAATATAACACAAAATATTGGTCCAAATACTTATTTATATTCTGGTTTGGCATATCCATGTTAATTTCATTTTCCGTTAATGTACTTTTATTGTTGGAAAATAATTTCATAAAAGTGCCATTATTATTTGCTATTATATTATGCATAACAATATTATTATATATCATACATAAATCGTCGGCATTATATTTTAGTGCAAAAAATACTTATGTTTTATTAAATTCATTTATATCTCATACCAAACATATTTCTCTTATAAGTAGACTAAAGGTTAGTCTCTCTCTCTCTCTCTCTCTCTCTCACTCACTCACTCACTCACACACACACATTAATTTATAAATTATTTTAATAATAGTTATTAAATCACATGGAAAGAATTGCAATTCATAAAGTTGGATTTTGGTGCTGGAAACTTTTTGTGATCAATGACTTTCAAGGGTTTAGAGTTAGTATATATTCTAATAAAATTATAAGATCTTAAAATTTTTATTAATTTATTTTTAGATTTTGTCATTTATCCCATATATATTAATGAAACTTCATAAATATCAGTGATTATTGTGTAATGTAATTAATTATTAAATATAATAAGTTTTTAATGTATTTATATTTAATTTTATTTTTACAAATTCTGTTAAGATTATTTAATTTATTGTAATATTGTGCTATATAAATTAACATATTGTTTTATTAAATTTATAACAATTTTTAAATGTAATCACAAAAAACATGGCGTCGAAGCGAAAGCGAGACGCTTTACAAAATTCTGTCTCATTTGCTAATTCACTTCAAATAGCTATTGTAGACAAGTTTTCTGAACACCAAAAGACATCAAAGGACCTTGTTAATTTTGTTAATGATAAAGTTTCACAATTAATTAATATAATTAACGAGCAAGATCATTTTATTGCCAACAACAATTGTAATGGGTGTGACTACACGGAACCCTTATTTAACAGGATTGGAAGTTTGGAGCAAGATAACAAGGAGATTGTAAGACAATTAAATATATTAAATCAGAATATTTTGGACAAACCTGAACCAAGGTCATATGCTGGAGCCGTGAAAAGTAATAATTATAATAATTTTGGCCAAAAAACTATGACTCATAACAAAAGGAATGCTAACGTTGTGGTAATCCGAGACAACAATGAAAACACGTCATCAAAACAATGTTTGCAAGCAGTAAAGACTATCCTTGATGCAAATTGTGATGATGTTTACATAACGAACACGAGATATGCTGCTAAAGGGGGAGTTATACTAAACTGCGAAACACAAGAGGATCGGGATGAAGTCTTACAAACTATTTCTAATAATTCCCAAATGACTGCATTTGTCCCGAAAAAACGCCGCCCAAAGATTGCGGTATATGGTATACCTACGGATATGGATAAGGATAATTTAACCAAGCACATAATTGATAATAATAGATATATTAAGGAAATTGTTAATAACTCTATGGATAACATTGATATTAGCGATTCTGGTCAAACTGTCGATGATCATATTGTGGTTAAATTTAATATAAAACCTAAGGACACCACAAAACGTACCCAGACCTGGATCATTGAATTGAGCCCAGAAATGTATCAAATTATTAAGAAAATGGATAAAA